ACGTGCCTACGTTCAACAACCGTATTAATTCGGAAACGTCTCGTCCGTAATATTAGCGACACACCGTCAATTACCATTAGCGTTACCATTTTTTCGTCTTATGTAGTATGTTATATTGTAAATTATAATCTGTGAGTTGTTATTCCGTTAATATTAGGTAAATATAGCTTAAGTCGGCGGCTGGCCAGTCTGCACTTCATTGTCCGTGAGTAAATTATTTATTATTTCATATTCATTATTGTTTGTTGTTATATTACACTGTTGTATATATAGTTTTGTGTTATATCATATTATACAATTCATCAATTTATTTTTATACCGGTCTATTATCCACTAACTAACTATTCTATTAGATGTGTGCATTTTTTACTATTTATTATTCTAAATTATTAAATTATTATTAATAAAAAGAGCGTAATTACCAATATTTTTGTAACCACTTTGTACCATTTTTCCTAATATTAAGTTACACGCACACACACAAATACACGATCTTGGACGGTGGGGAAAGCGCGCGAAGAATCTGGTGTCCGGGCTACAGGAAATATTTAAGTCTATTAAGTCTAGCTCCCGGCCCATACAATTACTATGAACACCGTAAAAAATGTAAAAGGAAATTCAGTCACTCTTGTGTAGTGAAGGAAACGCTCGCGTAAATATTAGTTACAAAAATAAATCCTAAAACTAAATTGTCATTCATATAATCCATGAATGAACAAAAAATATAAAAGTATAGGTCGTACTGAAAATACTTAAAAATACATACTTTACTCCCTAAGGAGTTGAATTTTCAAAAATCAAATCAGTTCTTTTTGACCTATATTTAATCAAAAGCGTAGTTCAATCGATTTGAAATTAAAATCCAAGAAAACTTGTGGAGACAATGATCGAAAACTACTTTACGTCCCATTTGTTTTTCGCAGCACTAACAACTGTAATGACTTATCGATTTTTCAGTATTTTTACCTTTATGCCCGTTTTTAGTAGTGAAGTGTTTTTACCATACCAAAAAATACGAAGATTCATCGATGACGTTTGATTTACTCCATCGATGGTGTTCCTCATACGATATTACCTTATTTGTGACCTTTCAAAGCGTATGTAATATGTATAATGAATTTAAAAAATAGCAAATCGCATTATATTTGCAAATTATTCTTGTAAAATAATTAGATATGTGTAAGGTTAACACACTGTAATGTATAACAATAATAATCCGATTAAATGAATAATTCATAAAACCTAATAATCAACAAATAATATTTGAGCATGCCAGTTTTTCTATTGTAAAGTTAAATTATAGAATATATTCCTAATATATGCATGAAGTTGACAACGGTAATTCAATAACATTATTCGTTAGGATCATTTTATATTTTTCTTTTTTTTCTCTACTTAGTTTATTATACAGGTACATATTGCAATTTGTAGTTCATCGAAATTTGAAACGAACAACTTTGGAGTGCGCGTAATACCGATAACTTCTTTGAAAAGATGCCGGACACTGTAGATGAACCAAAAAGCGAAATACAGCAATTCTTTAGTGGTACCAACGTTTTCTTAACTGGCGCCACGGGTATTGTAGGTCACGTATTAGTTGAAAAACTTCTTAGGTGAGTCAATTTTTATAATCATTTGTTGTTTCCTATCTGTTAACAAATTTTTAGGAAGAATCAATTTGCTTCAATCAAAAATTATAGGGGTCTTGGTAACATTATGAATGTAGGTTTTATATTGAGTCGGTAGTTTTTTAATTTTTATAATGGTTTTTAAAAATGTACAATTTCACGTATTGTCGTGACGTAATTTTCTATTTTTTTTTTATTTTTTTTTCCTTTACGAATGTAAAGCGTAATGTAATAGTTTTTAATTGTCCGCTTTAATTTTAAATTTCAATGGAAATTGCATAAATACCGAATTTTTGCGTACTATTTTTCAAATTATGTAAACATAAATTTTTGGCCGAGACAGAATAATTGTGAATTTAAAGCGAGGTTCAAAAGTAAATGTAGCCTAATGAGGTAATTTTTTTTAAACAAGTATTTATCCGTTCAATTTTAGACGAAAATTAAAATAATCACGAACTTTCAACAAATAACCAACCGAATTTTTATCTGTACCAGTTCTAAATATATCAGAGGATACACCTTCAAAACACATAATTATACATTTATAGTTTATATTGGATTCGATTTATAATTTAATAAAACAATAATTATAATTTATTAATTTTTAGAACATGTTATATAAACAAACTTTACCTTTTGATCAGACCGAAGAAAAACAAAGAGCCCCAGAATCGATTGAACGAAATGTTTAGCGATACGGTTAGTCACCCGAATTTTACAATACTTATTTTAAATAATAACAATAAAAATAATATTGTCTTAATAATTAGCTGTTCAAACGACTGGCGGAAGACCAACCGAATTTCACTGAAAAAGTGGTAGTTATTGTTGGCGATTGCTATGATCCCAATTTAGGTCTATCGGCGGAAGACGAAGAATTATTGGTGGCCAACATACACGTTGTCATCCACTGCGCTGCAACGATTACTTTCAATGGACCACTTAAACGTGCGTGTTTCATCAACGTCAGATCCACCAGAGACCTACTGTTGATGGCGCAGCGTATGCCGAACTTAAAAGTAAGGGATATTATATATACATGTTATCGGCCATGTAATTTACTAATAGGTTTATTCAAAACTAATAATACAGATGAGTCGATAATTTATATTCATAACAATTTGATTGCCTATTATTTAATAGTCGTTTGTGTACGTTTCGACGGCGTTTTCCAACCCGAATGAATCATTGATCAAAGAGATCATCTATAATTGTCACATAAAAGCAGAAACGTTAATCGACATAGTCGAAAATCTGCCCGAATCGATTGTGACCTCGATAACGCCACAGTAAGTGTTACTGACGTAATAATTATCGGTATGTAATTTAACGTTAAACATTTAATCCATGCAAAG